ACCACAATCGCTTAGACGCCATTCTGCTCCAGCGTATTAACAATGACGGACTATGATGACAGCTCGCTCAGGGCGGGGATGTGTTGAAACCCGGCTGTCAATCAACAATCGTGGGAGGGGCATCCGACCGTGTGACGTCACAAAATCGAACGGCTCAATTTGAGGCAGGGGAAAACATATAAGGAGATTAAAACAAAACCACTGGATAGATTTTTACCATTATATGATTGTGTACAGGCACTGCCAACACACATTTCAGTACAATCAACTTGAAAAAGTATATGACCCCTTTAAAAACTTCAAAAGAATGAATAAAAAAGGTTTCTCACAGGGTTAAATGATGGCACAATCTAATAAAACATTGCTTCAATGACAGAGTTTTGACAGAAAGAACATTTTGGTGGATCTTCTATTAAAAACTTGTGTGTCATCCTGGAATTGATAGAAACTTCTCAGTATATAAATCCCATTCTGTTTGCCATTTGTTATTAATATAGAAATGAATTATTGGTTTTTAGATCCATAGGAGGTACTGTGCAAATTTTGAGGTCTGCTGATAATGCCTGCTTCATAGAGTCTGCTTCATTTCCTTTGATTCCACAGAGTCCAGGTACCCAGCTAACCCAGATATTAAATTGATGCCCCTCTAGTTCAAGCGGTTTATAAATAATCATTACAAGTGCTGGGTGATCATTTTTGCGGGATGACATTGCTTAGAGACATGACAGCTCAATTTTTACAGAGAAATTCTCTTATAATTACAGATTCAAAGTCTGTTATTATAAGAAAATGTCTCTGTTGCATAATCTTTATGTAGTCCAATGTCATATTGGTAGCATTTGCTGCTGCTGTAAAAATGTAACTGTTTACGGATGTAATGTTCTTTTTTGATGGTTGATCAATAATGCAGATGATATGGTCCTCAGATTTTGATCCATCAGTATTTACTATATAGGGATATGTGATAGAAACATTTCTCTGATGTAGAGGAGTTGTTGTTGAAAGTCATTTGGGTGTGTTTCAGATTTAAAATCAAATTATTATAATTTTATTTTTAGAATTTCCAAGGGGCTCACTCTTCAGAAGTGCATCCAGTTTTGTCGGTTCCAAACTTTTAACAGGAATTTTCCAGAACTTGATTAGTGGTTCAGAAACGTGACCTGTTTAACATTTATTGCTAAACATCTTCAATAATCTGATTTAAAAAAAAAAAGTTTTTATTACAGTAACTATAACATTTCCTTACGTTTGGATGGTACCTGAAATCTTACTAAAGACATTCAACAATTGGACATATTGGCTGAAAAAAACAAACAGATATTACATCCATAATAGTAGTATCCAAAATTGTAAGAGAAAAAAAAGGGACATAAAAGACATCAATTGTAGTAACAATATAGTATGTTGCAAGGCAATGTCAGCCAACACAGCATTACAGCTTTTTTTTTTGTAATTCAATAAGCTATATATTTATTACTCTGCCGGTAGTTTTGGTACCAGATCTGATCAGTTTTGACTTGTGTTTTTTTTTTTTTTTTTACTATATACAAAAGAAAACACTTGAGGATGATACATTTTACTCCAGAGGTACTCTCATTCCCAAAATGGGTATTTTCCATTTTATTTTTTTTCCTACCATTACTTCTTTCATTACTTATATCCTTCGTATCTCTATTTATTCAATAATACTTATACGATTTCCCTACTTTTCTTAAAAATATTCATAATTTCTATACTAGGTCTGGTCTTAGTGGGAGAATGTAGTCTATCCATTTCCCCCATAGCTTGACAAATTTCTCGGACTGTAGCCGAAGATTCATTGTTAACCTCTCCATTGTGTAAATTTCGCACACAATTCGTTAATTTCCGGTGTTTCAGATTGCAACCATTTTCTGGTTATAGCTTTTTTTGCAAGCTATCAACAGAATTCTCATTAAATATTTATCAGATTTGTCTTCTGATTTAAGACTTGTAAGACCAAAGTATAGAGTTAAAAAACTAAATGGGATGGGTTCCATGAATATACTCTCTAAACTCGAATGGATTTCTTGCCAATATTTCTGAACTTTAGAGCATTCCCAGAATATATGGCTATGATTGGTTTCATTCGAGCCGCACATTCTCCAGCAGATTGCATTTTTGCTTTGATATCTCTTCTGCTCAGGGCTGAGGACAAATCTAGTGACATTTTTCCAGCCAAATTCTCTCCAGGTTGTGGAATGTGTTGTCTTCCACTGTGATTTAAGAATACTTTCCCAATCTTCCTCTATGATTTCCAGATTTCCTTCCATTTCCCATTTATTTTTTAATATATCGGATATTTTCTAATTTCCTGTCTTGTAGACTTTTATACAATTTTGTAATTATTTTAGTCATGTCACCCGTTTTATAAATTAAAATAAACATTGTAAGAATATTGTTTTCCTTGTCATTATATTCCCTCATTATTACATAAAAAGTGTTCACATTTGAGTGTCTCAAAATCCATCACTTGTCCTTTATGTAAAAACGTACAGTATGCTGTGAGGCCTCGTTTAGTCCAAGCTTTATATAGTATTTGGAACAAATGTTGAATCATAAGCGGGCCATCTCAATATTGATACCAGGTCTATCAAATTATTATTTTTTAAATTGTATCTTGCCAAATCTTTAATAAGTTATTTGTCCACGGATTAAATTCCTGTATATACGTTTTAGTCAAGTGTTCATCTGCCATTATAGCTTGTATTGGAGGTCTTTTAAAGTCAGCATGTTCTATTTCTTTCCATCTGGCTTTCAAATCTGGATTACATGGAATATTATCGTGCGGCCCAATTATGACCTTTATTATGTCTAAGGCAAAGCCACCTTTTTCTTTCTTTAATTGTAGTGTCTTACATGTTATTCTTGTTTTTTTTCCCTTGCCATATAAATCGTGATATCAATCTATCCCATTCAATAAAGTTTTGTTTACTTATCTCTATCGGAAATGTTTGGAAAAGATACAAGAATCATGGAAGTATATTCATCTTAATTGATTCAATTCTACCATATAATCCTAGATATGGCAGAATATCGCCAAATCTGATTTCATTGTAGAATACAGTGGCTTGTAATTTACATCAAATAGACGTGTGATATCTTTGGGTATTTGAACCCCTAAATATTTCAAATAGTCCTCTCCCCATTTAAACTTAAAATTTCCCTTCAAATAACTAGATGGTTGGCAATTAAAAGTGCATTTAATTTATAGCCTGATAAATCTCCAAACAAAACTAATGTTTCCATCAAAACTTCTAAAGATTCGTTTGGTTGTCCTAAATAAACCAATTTATCATCTGCGAAAAGTGGTCATTTCTGTTCTTCTCTATTTATGTCTATTCCCTTAATATTTGTATTTTGTTTTATATATTGGCTTAACGGCTCTAAAAATAAAGCAAACAAAAGAGGGGAACACGGACATCCCTGCCTACATGATCTTTCTAAGATAAACGCTTGTGAAAGATTTCCATTAACTTTAATTCTTGCTGTTGGTTTATTGTATAGTGCTTGGAAGGCTTTAATAATAGTGGTATGAAAGCCAAACTTTTCTAATACCTTATAGAGATACAGCCATCTAACTATCAAATACTTTTTCTGCATCTAATCCCAGAAACATAGAATTGGTCTTGTGATGCTGTATATACCATAGGATGTGTAATGTACGTCTAATGCTATCTTGTGTCTGTCTTTGACGAATAAACCCTGTTTGGTCTAACTGAATAAGGTTAGGCAATGTAGTCTCGTCTTTTAGCCAAAATCGATGTGTATTTTTTTATAATCCATGTTTAAAACCGAAATTGGACGATCATTTTTACACTCTAATTTATCTTTTGCGTCTTTAGGAATAATTGTTATTGTCGCTTCCCTCCAGGAAGGGGGAATCTCCCCCTTTTGGAGAGCCCAGTTGCACGCAGTTTGAAGTCTTGGGACTATCTGTTCTCGAAAGCTCTTGTACCATTCAGAAGTGTATCCATCCGTGCCCGGGCTTTTGTTAGCTTTTAGTCCTGCTATCGATTTATTTCCATTTCTGTTATTTCTTTTGTTAAGCTAGCATTCTGCTCTTCAGTGACTTCTGGTAGGTTTAAGGAATTAAGGGAATTTTCTATATGCTGTTCATTTTGCATTGTTGGTTGTGAGTATAAAGTTCAATAATAAATTGCAAAACTCTGCTGTATTTCTTTCAATGTATAACCTTGGTTTGAGGGTTTCTTATTTTATAGATTTAGTCTGCTCGTTTTCTTAGTTTATATGCCAAGAGTCTCAGACTAGTTTCCTGATTCATAATAGTTCTGTCTTAGGAATATTCTCTTACGTTGAATTTCCTCGGTTAATATGGCATCTAACTATTTCTGTAATCTTTGAATTCTGTTTTTCACCAGGATCGTTTGTTCTTTTATGAGCCCAACTTTCAGCTGTGTTTGTAAATTTTCAATTTTCCATCGTCTCATTTTCTTTAGTGAAGCAGTATGAACCTCTTAAGACTGCTTTAAAGGCATCCCATTTAATTGTTGGTGATATTTCTACATTATCGTTTTCTTTAAAGTAAGATTCAATTTCAGATTTAAGATTTTCTTCGACATAAGGATTATTTAGTATACTTGAATTCAGCTTTCTTTAAGGGTTGATCTTCTACTGTCATTACTATAGGTGCATGATCTGATAATAGCAATTGTTCCAATGTCACATGAGTGGATTCTATGTCTGTCTTTACTTTTCTTAATCAATTCGACTGTACGTTGAGTGGGGAGCTGAAAAGTGTGTATAGTCTCAAGAATCAGATTTTTAATATTAAAGTTGAGCTTTTAATTATGAAGTTGAGCTCCAACCCCAATTAAACAAGATTCAGCTAATCAAGGAATACAAAAAGTTCAGGCAGGTGTTTTAGGGCATCCTCGAGCTAAATTCTCCAGGACCGAGTTTGGACAACCCTGATGTAGTCCGTAGTTGATGTGCATAATTGATTGACCATACAAACTTCATGAAGGTGAACTTAAATAACATTTACTTGTTCAAATGTCACAAAAACAGAGCAGAAGAGCTGTACAAAAGGAAAGAGTAATTGGGGATGAAGAGGTAATTTAACATCAGAAAGGTTTAGTTCATTTCACACAGCAGCAGCTCTTACCATGTATCGCACATGAAAAATCATTTACAAGACACTGCACATCTTCACTCAGATGGATACAAAATACAGAGCAGCAATTTTGATACCATTACAGACTAGAAGAAATATAAGAACACGAGTTCAAGACTCCAGAGAAGAAATATAATCAAACTCAAGCATGTACACCGCAAATAAACAGTCGAATGTAGTTGAGGCTCACAGTATGGAGAGATTACAGTAAACACTGCCGTTTTTAGGCACATGAGTAACTCCATGTTCCATCGTAAGCCGCAGTACAAGTCAGAGGTAATGCGTTATCACAAATCAAAATGTCAACCAGATTAATAAGTCACACACACATAGACCAAGTACTCAATCATACGTCAATCACATTCCAGTCTGCAGAAGCTTCTTCCCTTCTGGGGCACAGCAGTTAAAACCAGAGGGGAAAAGATGGTCACAGTTACAACGGTAAAAGTAAATGTCACGCTAGGGCACAGGTCCGGCCTGCTTCAGACGGTTGGCTCGTTTTAAAAGAAATTAAAGAAAAAAAAAACACATGGAGCAGTGCCAACTGAAAAGCTAACTGGCTCCCTCTGCTGGTCTGCAGTGGAGAGGCACCTAACGGAGGACGCTAGGAGAATGTGTGTGTGTGGAAATACAGAAGCAACAGCAGGCATACTGTGCTTTCAGCAGTACTCTGAGCCTGGAGAGGGGAGAACGGCAGCCCATGTTCCATCTCCAACCAGCTGGGGCTTCATAACGTGACGGTCGAGACGCTAACGCTTTGCAACAGCAAAACTGTGCAGGTTGAACGAGGTCAAAGAGAGGTGTGAAAGCAGGCAGAACAACAAGAATGAGCGTGAACGAGCATTACGGGTGAGGAAAGGACAGATTCTGGAGGATGAATATACATGATCCATCTCCTCCAAGTGCAACGCTGAACAATCAGCTCAGAAAACCTTGACTCTGTAAAATGGGATGAAAGGATGGAAAGTAGTGCAACACAAATACGGTGCGTGGTGGGGGGAAAACTATTTCGAGACTAACACTAACCCAGAGCTCCCCATAAAGACACAAACAGGTGACTCACTGAAGAGAACAGACAGCTACCATATCCGTTGCAGAGATACAAGATATTTAAAGCATGTAAGGCTTGGCACTTGTGTGTGAGAGGAAGTGTTTGTAGTGGAGAAGCCTTTTTTAGACAACTGAACAACTATATACACAACTAACAAGAGGCATAGCAGAAAAAAGGCAATCGCCCTGCTTAAAATTATTCAAAATAAATCGAAATAAAAAAAAGCCTACAAAATAGGACTATTTAGATGAACAAGACAGGAACCCTTTCCTTTCGTTGTGGTGCTTGTTGCATCTTTGGGCTTACAAAAATAAAATAAAGACAAAATTAAAAAGGCAAATTAAAAAAAAAAAAAAAAACTATTTACATACACATTGAAATTATATACACAAACTTCGGCAATCATCCATGACCGATCATCGGAGCTTCTGGGTCGTCCACTGGTTCCGGTTTGTTTTCTTTGCCCAAGTGAACTCAATGACGGTCCACCCCTCTTTCACACACAAACACACACCTAAAGGTGGTTTTAAAGTAGCAATCCCTTTAAAAGCTGGCGGTTTAGAGGAAGCCATCAAGTGCTGGTCAAAAGATGCGTTTGCGTTTCAGGTAGGAGTCAGCATAGTGTCCCCCGAGACCCTGAGAGTGCTGACCTACATAGCCACCCTCTGGACTGGGCTCTGGAGACGGGATGAGACGGGAGAACAGACGCTTCTGCCCGCCGATGGGAGTCTAAACGCGGACAGAAAATCAAGAAGAATACCTGTTGAAAGGTTCCTGGCACACTTATCCGTTAATTGACAAGGACCGAATATAGATGCTAGACATCATGGCCTACCTTCATACCAGCACCAGGTGCAGCAGGAAATAGGCTGGAATGAGTCACTGGAGGCATTCCAACAGCCTGAAGAAACAAACACTTATTCAACTTTCTGGGCCGCCTTACATATGTTCCGGCCATCTATGCAAATACAAATTGTAATAAAGATATGGAATTATGTGATGAGAAGGATGTCATGCTTCTTATACAGTATCTCACAAAAGAGAGTACACCTCCCACATTTTAGCAAACATTTTAGTATATCTACTCAAGGGACAATACTAAATGAAACTTGGATATATTTTAGAGTAGTCATTGTGCTGCTTGTATAGCAGTATTTACTGTCCTCTGAAAATAACACAACATACAGCCAGTGTCAAAATAGCTGGCAACAAAAGTGAGTACACACTAAGTGATAATAGCTGTACGTCGTTTAACCATGCAAAGCCACATGTCCTATTCATCATGTTCATGTTTTTGTCTGCTTGATAGGACCATACGAATTGTTGTATCTTGTATTAGAGCAGTTCAAATTTGTGCTTCGAGTACAATTCTCTCATACTGACCACTGGATGTTCAACATGGCACCTCATGGCAAATAACTAAGGATTTGAGAATTAGAATTGTTGCTCTCCACAAAGATGGGCAAAGAAGATTGGTAACACCCTGAAACTGAGTTACAGTAAAGGCCAGTGCCCGGTTGCATAAAGCACCTTAAGTGTAATTTTCCCTTAAGCTCGCCCTTATGTTTCCCTTAAACCTAAGGGTGTTGCAGAAAAAAAAACCTTAAGTGTTACTTAAGGGTTTCTTTAAAGTGAAACATCATAAACAAGTGAAAAAACAACATTTAAGGGAAATTCTAAGTGTTTATGACGTTTCACGTAAAGAAACCCTTAAAAAGCGTTAGGTGTTGCATAAAACCCCTTAACGGTCATTTCCCTAAGTATAATTTAAGGTTTGGAAATCGTAACCTTAAGAGTAATGCGGACAAAAATAAGACAACATGGCTGAATTTATGGAACCAGCTGAAGATCATTATGTGCCAAGAAGAATTTTTAGGGATAGGGAGAACCCTTTGGACCATCTTAGCGATGAAAAATTGTTGCAAGAATACCGGTTTGATCGACGCGCAATATTTGACATCGCTAACAAACTAGACGGCGACCTTGACCATGTCACACATCACAACCACTCTTCTGCTTATAGCACTGCGTTTTTTTGCAACTGGGAGTTTTCTAGGGGTGTGCAAAAAAATCGATTCACATTTGAATCGCGATTCAATCTTTACCGATTCAGAATCGATTCATAGAATTCCAAAAATCGATTCATATTTTTTTTTTATGGCGTGCACGGGCGGAGTGGCAATCGGGTGAGTCGGGACTTTTACCGGTGGTTTGGTAGTGTTTCGAGGCTGCGAGGGCCGGTCTGATAAATAGTTATACATTGCAAGTTCTTGCCGCCCGCTGGTCAAACTGTGCAGCCTCTCTGCTCAACCCGTGAATAAATGCATCGATCCGCAGATTATGTTTGAGTTCTTAATGGTCTGTAGATCTTTTGCCAAGCGTGTCAGAGGTTACGGGTTCTAAACCGCACTCGTATAGTTTTTTCTCTCTCTCATCAAAACCGAATATGTTCATCACGTTTGTGTGCATTTTATTTTTGAGATTTTACCGGAGTCTCCAAAACGGCGATAGATTGAAGAGCGCGTCCGAGTGAAGACTGCGCGAGCCACAGAGAACACTGTATCCATGACACTGATAGCAGCGGCAACGAGCGCTCAGCTTGATTTCAAAAACAACAGATCTCTTACTTAATAGCGAACTAAATAAATGCTCTGCTAGTTAACTGGAGATACCCGCAAATTACGCCTATGAACGACTTCACTGGATCTAAACAAATCAATCTAACCATAGATGTTACCAGTAGCGGTGGCTTTTTAAAATCTATTTAAAATTATTTCGCAAGGGTTCTTTGACATTAGTATATTTTTAGGAAGTTCAATGTGCCCAGTCGAGTTCACATTTCAACAGTCAGCCTGGTAGCTGAAGTAGTCCTTAAACCACATTTAGCATAATTGTTTGTTTGATCTGACTACAGCACTTTAAAGCTAAATGTAAAAGCTTTTTATTTAAGTTTTATTTTAAACTTGAATTAAATGTATTTGAAAGCTGGCCAAAGCTTGGCACTTTGCACTTTTTAGTTGCAAAAGTTTTTATTTTTGTAAGACATAAAGTAATATCAAACTACATTTAATTTGTTGTGTTTTTTTTCTTTTAAATTGTGTCTACTGCAATCAATCACATAGGAAAAAGTAAACTACATTTATATACTGTGAATCGTTTTTTTGAATCGAGAATCGTTTTTGAATCGAAAATCGATTTTGAATCGAATCTTGAGACAAAAAAAAAAATCGGTATCGAATCGAATCGTGACATTTTCTGAATCGTGCACCCCTAGAGTTTTCAGACGATAGTGGGAGATGTTTTCCACCTGCATAAATCGTCTGTCAGCAGAGTGGTTCAGAGTGGTTCACCGGGTTGCGGGGGCTCTTTCCCATCATTGAAACGCAACGGTCAAGTTTCCATCCCGTAGTTTGCTTTTCAAAATGGTTTTTATTTTACCATATTCGTCAAGAAAAATACATTTCTCCTCCTTTGTCCAATTAGGCTTTCTTTTTTTGTTTTCTTTATCCATTCCGATATCCTAGCCTACATTATTTGATGAAACTGCGAAATTGCTAGTGTTAGTGTTTTGCGTATCTATGGCAACAACAGACTTTTATAACGTGAATCCAGGATCGCTGTCGTGAAACACTTAAATGTTTCCCTTACCTAAGAGAACCGTTTAAGAGATTATATGCAACACTTAAGTTATTCTCTTAGGTAAGGGAAAATTGCCCCTTAAGTATCATACTTAAGAGAAAAACTTAAGGTGCTTTATGCAACCGGGCACAGGGTCATACAGAGGTTTTCCAAGACTAGTTCCACTAGGAACAGGCCTCGCAAGGGTCAATCAAAGAAGTTGAGTCCTCGTGCTGTGCGTCAGGTGCAGAAGCTGGCTTCAAAAAACAGACGCATGAGTGCTGCCAGGATTGCTTTAGAGGTTGCAGAAGGTCAGCTTGTCAGTGCTCAGACCGTACACCGCAACAAGTCGGTTTGCATGGCCGTCTCCCAGAAGGAAGCCTCTTCTGAAGCTGACTCACAAGAAAGCCCGCACACAGTTTGCTGTTTGCAGAGACTAAGATAAACTTGTGTGGCTCAGATGGCGTCCAGCATGTGTGGTGACGCCCTGGTGAGCAGTACAGAGAAAATTGTGTCTTGCCTACAGTCAAGCATGGTGGTAGTAGCATCATGGTCTGGGGCTGCATGAGCGCTGCTGGCACTGGGGAGCTGCGCTTCATTGAGAGAATCATGGATTCCAACATGTACTGTGACATTCTGAAGCAGAACATGATGCCCTCCCTTCAGAAACTGTGCCGAACGGCATGATAACGACCCCAAACACACCACCAAGATGACAACTGCCTTGCTGAGGTAGCTGAAGGTGATGGAGTGGCCTAGTATGTCTCCAGACCTGAACCCTATTGAGCACCTATGGGGCGTCCTCAAGAGGAAGGTGGAGAAGCGTCATGTGTCTAACAGCCAGCAGCTCCGTGATGTCATTAGGGAGGAGTGGGAGAGGATCCCAGCAACAACCAGTGCAGCTCTGGTGAACTCCATGGCCAGGAGGATTAAGGCAGTGCTAGATAATGCTCACACTAAATATTGACACTTTGGACACAGTTTTGACATGTTCACTTAGGGTGTACTCACTTTTGTTGCCAGCTAATTTGACAATAATGGTTGTATGTTGAGTTGTTATACTGCTACACAAGCAGCACAATGACTACTCTACTATAGAAATTAAACTTGGATATATTTTATTGTCCCTTGAGAAGATATACTAAAATGTTTGCTGAAATGTGAGGGGTGTACTCTCTTTTGTGAGATACTGTAAGTATGGATTGAAGAGCTTTTGAAAATGGATCCAGATAAGTGATTCTTGGGCGTGGCGTCAACTCTCTGATCAAACAAGTGTCGCTCTTTTTGATGAGCTGCACGGCCACTCTGACCCCCGAAAATAAATGTTTTTTAATAATATATTATGGCTCAATTGATTGGAATGAAATTTGCTATACATTTAAATAACTTGAGATTGTTACAAAGGCAGATCACAATGGCATAGACTACTGTTGAAAGTAAAAAAAAAAAAAAAAAACGTTTACAAGAAATTAACACTTATTCAGCAAGGACACATACAACTAAATAAAAATGACATTAAAAGAAAGTTGCAAAAGATTTCCATTTCAAATGAATGCCATTCTTTTAAACCTTTGGTTAAAGAATCCTGAAGAAATATTATGGTTTCCACAAAATTAAGCAGCCGTGTTGAAAATGGTTGTGATAATAGGAAATGTTTCTTGAGCACCAAATTTGAATGATTTCTGAAGGATTATGAGATTAACTGGTTGGGGTGTAGGTCCCTTATTAGTTACGGACCGTTCATACAGTACACAATGCTGTAATGCCTTGTAGTAGGGGTGTAAATCAGACAGTTCATCCCGATACGATATTATATTGATTCTCTCAACCAGCGATACGATATTTGTCGATACCTCAAAGTTCTGCGATACGACTCAGGGCTATATCGATATTTAGATATTATGGGCCAAGTTTACACAAACGGTTACATTTTTATTAACTCACAAATGCAACCATAATATATAACATGAACGTTTAATTAAACTCTTTGAAAATTGTACGCCCTCTCCCAATTGGGACATTTACTATAGAAGAGTTAATTTGCAAAAACAGATAACTCTATTTCCCTTTTACACCCCGAAGAAGATATCACGGGTTCATTAAGTTCGTTGAAATTATCCATCATCGATCACTTTTAGTCAGCTTTGACGAAACTCCTCTCAGCTAGCGCGTCTTTTCAAAGTGACTAGCAGCCTTGTCATCTGACCTGAATACTGCACGCTGATTCACTAAAATGACTTATGTTCACAAACAAGGGTGCTTGTCGGTTTTTGCTGTAAATCATGAACTCGATGCCTTGACAGTGGACAATACCGGCTTTTGTGACAAAACATGTGTAGGGTTCAGTCAATCTTGTCAGGCGTCTATTTCAGCTGAGGAGATTAACGTTATAAAGACACCGGCAGACAGTATGGTGAGTAAACGAAAATGAGCACTTTGGCGGAAATGCGACTGACGTTATGCGAGGATGTGTAGTGTGTCAACAAAGATAATATCGGTATTTTACTATCGTTAGACGTTTGATCGATGCATCGATCCATATCGATGTATTGTTGCACCCCTACCTTGTAGAAGAAAAAATTCTTCAGCATGTTTTTTTTCTCTCAGACAAATAGTATAGAATTTTAAAATGTGCCATTTATCAATAAGCCATAACATGAAAATAATTCACTTTATTTAATCAAGTATAAGAATAAATAATTTGTATTGGCCAGAATAGTAAATAAAAATCCCTGACTCCAGAAGTTCCATGAGGTGCCTTATTTGTCGAGGCAGAAAAAAATCAAAACAATATCCTGGTTTGACAAAGTGGCCGGTTTTGAGTACCTTATTGAGCTGGGTGGAGGGGATGCCGGTATGGGCACCAAAGCTGAAATAAGACTGTGGGGGGCTGGGTGGATAGCTGAAAGGAGACCCTGCATCACCGAAGCCTGCGTGCCTGGAGAGCTTGAGAGACAGACAATTACGATTTCACACGAGTCCAATCTTGGAACAGAATCCTTCTGTTAGTGTCAATGCAGGGAGGAGGGGCTGTACCTGCAAACCGTAGCCGGGAATAGCTGCATTTTCCAGAACCTCCTGCTGTTCATACAAGTGCGACAAAGGGTCCTATGGATGGGGTACAAACAGTGACAACATCCAATTAGAAAGGGATAGTGAGGCAGTCACACATTCAGTGAAGTTCCTCTTAACACATAAGCCAACCTGGTGCAGAAGAGGAAACTCTGGTGTGCAAGACTCTTGGAAGCGCAGGCTATAGTTCGAGTGGATGCTGTGGTTTGTGCGTTGGTTAGACGCGCTTCCAATCGCAGATTTCTTCCTGTAGGGGTGAGCTCTGTTGCTGGCACCTAAATAAACGTAATTCTTCAAGAAATGCAACAAGATAAAAAGGAAAAAGTGAAGGTGCACGAAACACCACAGGTAGACTGACCTGAAGATGGGAATATGCTAGGAGCACTGAGAAAGGGATTCTGGGACACACCAACTTCTTTGGGAGGCTCACCCAATATAGACACCTTCAGGAAAAGAAAAGATCTGAATATACAAACCTGTTGTAGATACTCTTTAGCATCACATTGAACACTAACAGGACTGAACAGCTCATGCTGAAGGAACAGCAAATTGAAGCAACGTCAAAAGCTCTCCTCTGGGAGATCATGGCAGTAAGTGTAGGCTACATCACAAAATAAATGTGCACAAATAGGAGCAGCCATTAGTAACCCATCTCACCCCCGGTAGAGTCGGCCCATCTGCTCCTAACATCCCAGCTAGGAGGGACATGCTCAATCCCTGCAGTGCAGGAGAGGATGCTGGGGGAAAGCCAATCGGGGTGGCTGGGGTCTCGGTCTCTCTCCCAAGAGGTCGACTCAGGGATGGTTGTTTGATGGGGCCAAGAGGCTCATTCTGCAAGCCCAGTGATGGAGCAATAGCGCCTGAATGAAAACAAATTCAAAGAAGCACATTAAACCCTACATGGTATCCAGACTTCTTGGTTCAATGATTTTCCATTAGTTTTCCCAGTTGATTAGGATTATTGGACAATGAATTTGAAATACAGATGAAAGTCTACCACAGCAATCTGATTTGTCAAATACAAATACCAGGTTTGGGAATTATTGACATAAGATTACTTGGCACTCAAACGTCACCAATAAGACAATCTCGAGCACTCACAAAGAGCAATTTAAAATGTCTCATCTAAACAAATCAGCCCGGTTTCTACCCATTTTGTTCCAAATCCGATCATCTTTGGATGTCAAATACTTCAGTGGTTTAACCTCAATTTTATGAAGCGACTTGAGTCACATGGATTACTTTGTCTTTAATATCTTTCTGGGGCTTGAAAGTAGTAGTTGCATAGGCTTTCAATGGAGGGACAGTAAGCGCTCAGATTTCATTAAAAAGATCTTCATTTGTGCTCCGAAGTAGGGATGCACCGATCCGATACTCGACTATTCTGTGTTATTGTTAAGCCCCACAAAAGGCACAAAACATTCTAAAGTATAAAGTTTTCGTGCACTCTATTATAAGTGTTCTGAAGCCATTATGTGAAATAGAAATTAATATTTAAGTCATTAAATTCAAGATAACGTAAACTTTTCCCCCCGCTGCGGCTGTCAGTAATTCTCCATTCAGCATTCAAACAGCGCGTCGCGTTCGGTTACAGTCAACGATGAAACTCTCTTCAAGATGATTCAATGTTAATATTATTATACTTGATCTATAGATAAAGGTCTATGGTTTCGCATAAAACTACTTCATCTTGCTGGACTTTATTGCTGTAACTTAATCATGTTACTTTCTACCGGGTGTCGGTTAGATCACAACACTAGAGTCACTTAATCATGTTACTTTCTACCGGGTGTCGGTTAGATCACAACACTAGAGTCAGAGCACTATAATTGTTCTTCACGCACACAATAACTGAAATTTAAAACTGTTAAAGAAAAGGCTCAAACTACTGCATAGATAGATACTGCATAATACATACGCATCAATATGCATTTCCTTTGTGCTTTGAACTTTTCAATGCGGACTCGACGCGCTGCCTGTGACTCCATGTTGCTTCATGCGCATCATTCTGCGCTCTGGATGCGCATAAGAGCTTTGTGCCGCACAGTATTGGAGCCTTTCATATCAGAATGCAGTGACGCAATAAAATATTAATAGCCTTTCTTGTTCTGTCCTACCTATCATATGTTGCTGCCTCATTAAACAGCTGTGCTATACATTTAAAACATTTCTCAATTTTATAGTAGCCTAGGCTATATCTAAAATAATTTCTTTTTGATTTTTGTTATCTTGTTTTTTTAAACGAGGATGATCAAATATTAGCTAAGCGGTCAATTTCCTGCAGTCCAGAATGTATCAGGAAGGATTAGTGTTTCCACTACAACAATTTTTTTTGACTACCTCCATATGTGGTTTCAGTGTGTCAATCACAAAATGTTTTAGACCCCATGTACACATGTATTTAATGACCTCATGATCCAATCACAAAACAAGTGCATCTTTATGAGGTCAAAACAGGGTCAGTTCCACATATGCTGATTTGTTACTTTAGGAATTGGGCAAAAACAAATATGGAGATGAAAAAGTAAAACACAAAAAACACCACACCTTATTTTGTAGGTTTAAGTACCCCTGAAAGATGCATGTCACCACTCTAGAGTAGTTTGTTATTGGTCAGTTCTTTTTTTCTTTGCACTGAAGCCAAGTAAAATGACTGTTACCAAGTTAAGCTACCCCAAAAATGGAGAGACAAACTTAAGATGATTCTAAAAGTGCAGCACCTTTGATATTTCCATGGTTTTCGAAGACTGTGGGAATCCTGCCCCAGTAAATAAGTCAGGGTACCCCCAGGATCCTCCAACTTAAATTCAAGGCTTTTTAAGACCTTTTTAATACCATTTCAACTGAAATTCAATGCCAACTTCGTACCCATTCCGACAGAAGTATGAGGGAAAAATGTCAAATATTTATACATTTTAAACCCTAGAAAATAATTATGTACAAGGAGGCTACTTGAATTAAATAAAACATTTTACTTAAATTATCAGTCATATTTAATATGCAACAGCATTGTTGCGCATGTGTGTGTAGGCCAGTGTTAATTTTGGCAGCCATTTTTTATTTAGTCTTAGTCTTCAGACGAAAATGCTTATTGGTCTTAATCACATTTCAGTCATCCTGTTTTTTATAGTTGTAGTTGACGAAAAGTCTTTGCATTTTTTGTCAACTTTTAGTCAAACTGCAGTTACTTTACTTTTGGTAGTTATTTTATATGTAGTCTTTAGACAGAAAATGTCATAATTATTCTCTCTAGGCCAATTCAATTAAGCTTATGAGAAATTATTGACATTGCACTCTTTAGCAGTAGCACTTGTGCAGTTCTACATAATGATCCCTTTTCCTAAGTTCCGTGGTTCTCCAATTTTTTAGAGTGCCGTTCCCCCTGAACCCCCCCTCTTCCACTTAGACTGCAGTCACACCCTTTCCATTAAGGGACAAGATTTGCCCCCTTTAATACATTTTTCCATTTAATTTTTTAATTAAATTTGCAATGTTAAAAAACATTAAAATCGCCAGTAGGTGGCAGTAACTCACTAGACTAGATCTTTATGAGTGAGTCTTTGAGTCATTCATTCATTGAATCTCACGATTCGTTCAAAGCCACATATTTCGTTGCAAAATAGAGCAAGCCTGACAATGCTGTTTTCAATGTAGTACATCACTTAATGTTACCCTTTTTTCTTTTCTTATTTACTGTTGTATAAAATCAATGTCACATTTGAAATCGTGTGGATATTCGGGAAACATTGCATTCTTGCTCGTATGAACACTGGTGGATATATCAGCCTGCATTTTGATCGCAGATTTAGTCGCACAAACAGCGCAAGCGGCTCGTGACAGAACACAGACCGACTGAATGACACTTTAATTTAAGTACAACATTTTAAATAAAGATCGCTGAACTCAAGCTTGTCTGTGTTTTCAAATCATCCGCGCTTCTTCAGCAATGTAGAGAGAGAGCGCGCGCATGGTTGCCAGATACTATTGAAAAGATGGGTAGAAAATATGTTCTTTTAACAGAAAAGCTCTTATTTGGAGTTTAAATTATGTCATGACTCATTTGTGGCCACAGCGGATTAAACTAGGCTAGGCTAGGTAGGTACTATATTGTTCTGTACCTCACTTGCCTAGTAACCATAGTAACGGGTGCGCACGCAATCGCTTTTTCTGCTATGACGTGGAGCGCGAGGTGCACTCAACGCTGCATACATTTTGAATTAGCCTACATTAGTAACAGTTAATTTTGTTACGGTATGAACTTAATCCTAGCAAAGGCAAAAAAATATATAAGACCTTTGTAACGAAATCCAAGACTTTGTATACTAAATTCAAGGCTTTTAAGGCCTTAATTTGAGATGATCAAATTCAAGACTTTTTCAAGGCTTTTAAGACCCGCGGATACCCTGTAAGTGCACAAACAGACCATTACAAAAGTGTGATACCTTGAGACATCTCTCCCAGCATGTTAATGCCTTGTTGGAGAGGATTTTCACTCCGCAATCCAGCCTGTGGAAAGACAAGAACTGTATTAGCTTGTTTCTGAAGAATTTTACTGTATAAAAATAACAGACACTTGTCAGTTACAACTAAATCAGAGGATGTAAACAGCACACAAAGGCAAACATGTTTGATCAATTCTGTCTGATAGACGTAGCTAATGGGGTTTTACCAACTAGTCACTTGGACTCAAAGCATTAATCTGCGGTAGAGAAATAGTTTGACTATTAAAAAGCACAAAACCACCTCACACCCACACAGAGCAACCACTCACACAAGGAAGGAGACTGCACTCTTTATTGTGCAGAATATGTGCCCAAAGAAGAGGATTCCCTAAAAGAGCTTGCTGAGAGGGGAGAAGAAGAGAGTGAGAGGGCTATAACACATGCTGCTGGGACGGTGGCAGGTGATGAGGGAAGGATTGACAGTACCTGTTGGACTTGGTTCTGGAGCAGCATCTGCATGAGGGCAGCAGAGAGGGCAGGGTTGGCCAGCAGAGGAACGGCGGGCGCAGCTCCCAGAAGTCCTGCATATTGAGAGAAGAGTGACAATCAAATCCATCGTCTGGATGAGAATACAAACAAGCATACACAAGGAAATCAATGAGAATAAGCACCTTGTTTATGTCCCGGGTTGAGAGACGCCATCATCATCTTCAGCGTGGCAGGGTTATTGAGGCCAGTAAGAATCTGTATGGCATTAGGTTCAGGAAGGAGACCTTTCCCTCGGTTCAAGGCCTGCAGACGTACAGGGCGATATTAACATGAGCATGTAAAACCACAATCCCTAGCACTTAATCCATCCTGATACAAGGATTCAACATGACTTTACGAAATGAAGGTTTTATATGAACCGTAACTAAATTATTATTATTATTTTTTTAAGAAAATGAATGCTCAGTTTGTAACGCTCTTTGGTAACTTTATAATGTCACTATCTGAAAGGGTTTTAGACCTCAATTTGCAATATACTAATCAAACTTTCTTTGTTAATCTTATAACAGGGCAGGAAAATGTTACAGCTATAACTGTCAACAAATAAATATTGGCAGGGAATAAGCTTTTAACACTAACACCACAAATCACGCACTGCAATTGCTTTACACAAAACCGTCACGTGAAGCTACCATTCTATTGCACAATGCAGAACAGTTTCTTTTGTGAATGATTTTATTTTCACCAAGAAGTGGGGTGTGTGTGCGGGGTGTACCATGGTCTGGGCGGCAATGAGGGCAGCTAACATGCTCCTTCCAGGTGGTCCAGGGGCGCAGAAAGACACACGTATACGAGTCCCACCCAGAGATCTTCCATCAGTCAGCCGCTGCACGTCCTCAGCCATCTCAGGTGTGGAGAACTCCAGCACTGCAAACCGTCGAAAACTACAGTCCTGACCTTGAGCAAGCTATGGGGGAAAAGAAATCAATTTTATTTTTTATTTTATTTTCTCGATATGAGGCTGCCCCAATGAGGCTGAACTATCCCTTCATTTACACGCTTTCTTCTACAGAACATTACAAATATTTAGATACGTTTTTTTTTTGTTTTTTTTGTCCATACATTGGAAGTCGATTGAAACCAAAACCTTTTGGTTACCAACATTCTTCAAAATATATATCTTTTCTGTTCTGCAGAAGAAAGTCATTAAGGTTTGGTTCGACATAAGGGTGCGATAGATCATTTCCAATTTTGGGTGAACCATTCCTTTAAACGTCAAAGAAAATGTCTGTTAAGCTGCTGATATGGCTGATAAGTTGATGTTAGCATTATCACAGATAGTTGGCAACTTTGCAAGAAATAAATAAAACATGTTCAATTCCAAAACCAAGGGAGCATTTGAAAGCAGGCGTCTATCAGCGGATCCCTAATATATCCACTGATCGACGCCTGCTTTCAACCGCTCTCGTGTGTATCTGTATGCGCTCTGTGAAGACAACGTTTTTGAAGCGTTGATCATTGTAGCCAATCCACAGACATATGTTGAGCCCGTGAACACAGTGGCCAACCAGAGGCGTTTAAGAATCTGTTCAACAGCGCTCAAAATGCTAGAGGGAAATGCTGGTGTCATCACATTTTTTAAATTTCAGTACCGACTTTGGTACCATAGTCTTTGACAACACTAGTCCAAAGATTACAACATCAGGACATTCTACTTAGAAACAATCATATGGAACGTCATGCATGGTGACTTCTAACATGTCCAATAAGGCTGTAGCTATCGTTTATTTTAGTAATCCAGTATTCTACTGATTATTCCATCGATTAATCCGATAAAAAAAAAAAGTGGTAATAAAAATAGATCCAAGTGAACAACAGCCTTTAAAATGACTTAAAATACAAATAGGTAACATTTTACAATACAGGTCATTAGTTAACTACCTTAGTTAACATAATAAGAATGAACAATACTTCTACAGCATTTATTAATCTTAGTTAATATTAATTTCAACATTGATTTTAATAATGTATTAGATAAGGGCTATAAAAGGTTGCATTTGTTAACATTAATATACTGTGAACTAACATGAACAAACAATGAAACGAACATTGACAAAGATTAATAAAATATTTACAAATATATTGTTCTTTGTTAGGTCATGTTGGTTAATACATTACAATAAAGTTCATTAGTTAAGATTAGTTAAAGTGTTACCTAAATATATAATTAGCAATAATTATTTGTTCAAATAAAGTATCAAAGTAATCATATGGGTTTTATTGAACAACGCTGTTAAAGTACACCATGTAAAATAAATGATATAAACTAATATAAAGTTTAAACATAACTTATGTACATTACGTAAAAACAAATGCCCGCACAGAGCGCCAACGGCCGTCATGATCAAATCCTTGTTTAATAATTGGACAAACAAAATTTAATTCAAATGTCAACTTAATCTTTAATATTTGGTCTCTTCTGTACAATGGAGAAGCAACAGCTGCTGTAATTTCTTGAACAATAGCATGTGCACGTCAAAACATGCAAACTCAGTGCAAGGGTTAAACTTATTTTGAAATCGCAATTCACATATTTCAGAAAGATAATTTATGTATTCTCCTGTTGGTATAGATTTACAAATGAGTTGTGTTACGAATTTTGTGAAACGGCACACTGCGTTCAGATGAACACTATAAGTCACACAAACTCACAGCACGCAGAGATGGAGTTTGAGAAACCAGAGATGACACGCATGTAAATGACGACACTGCGTTCTACACGCGTCCGAGCTCCGAGGTTTTGCGTTCCCAAATGCACATTATTGGAAACCTAAACAAACAGCGCATGCAGAGACTGGGTATGTGGAGCAGTGTTTACTGTGAATGGAGCGGAGGTACTGAACACAATCTGCATGCAAGTAAATAAAGCGTCAGGCTTCTGTTTTAAAATCAAGTACTCGACTTTAATCGAGGAATCGTTACAGCCCTAATGTCCAACAGTAGATGGAAGACTAACCAGTAAGAACAGTTGTACCTCCAAAAGTCAACAGGATAAAACAGTGGAGAGAGGAAGGGGAGACAGAACACCAGGACAAGCACAGTATTCTGGTTTGGGCAGAGTGATTACGATGCATTTCAAAGCCCAGTACTATGCATGCTAGTATGCATGGGTTTTCCATAGATTAGCAGAGAGACATGGGGGCTGCAATAATCTTAATGACTCCGTCAGGAATGGTTGCCTCTTGTATAAGTGGAACTGTGTTCAACAATCAAAGACAATGAGACGCTAAGGCCTTGATTATATATTACTGGAAAAATTCATTAGACCATTCATTATTTGTCCATTTTACGCATGAGTGGAGCCTCATCCACATGAGGGAGGCCAATCCAATAATTGCCTAAAACCTGGGAAATTAAACTGGGAGCACAACTGATTTAATGAGAATTAACTTCCAAAAGCCTCTGCTAATTCCAAAGCAATGGGGAACATGGCAAAAAGTGCCGACAATGCCTTGCAGCCTGCGGCGTATGTGGTACACACATTTAACATATGAAAAAGGCAGCAGCTCGCTCTCGTTCCAGAATGACCTGCTGACTGACAGCACCTGGGCCGGTCAGGTGACTGTCACCACAGAAACCAATGCACTCTGCCATGGAGCACTCAGCATGGCCTCATGGAAAACAGGTCAAAGGTGACAGAGCTGAACATAAAGCGGAAGAATAAAAGGGGAATTCTGCTGTATAATAATTCAGGAAATCTAACAACTGCCTATGCATGAAAACCAAAAGCAGAAAACAAAACTTTGAAACATTTGTAATCACAAAAGTTTAGCAGAAAGCTCAGGCTGTTCCTTTCCATAAAGACAAAGGTGAAAAGGGACAGGGGTCACCATAAAGGACAAAAACTCCATTTAAAGCAACACCAAGAAACTTTTCCTCTGCGGTCCCCCTACAGGTTGGAAGCGGAATTGTCCATTACCGCTGTCGTAAATAATTTAGCCTACCGCATCCTACAGTCGCACGCACGCTCGTTGTTTATCCAGCACCGGCTTTGGAATGAACGATGTCCACAGACAAGGTAGAGTATGTTGCATGATTTCATGAAAGTATAATGTATTGCGACATCAGAAACGAAGAAAAACAAAATGACTATTGTAACGCTGGACGTAAAGCAAGTCAAATTTGTAGTTTTCTTATGTCTCATTAGAACTACATAAACGTGACCCGATCTGGCAATCTTACATTGCGGCCCTATATCTGCTATAACCACGCTAAGCGAATCCAGAAGTGCCTTTCACCCTGTTACGACTTAATGAACCACTGAAACGATTTTGGAAACATTTTAAGGTATAAAAAAAAAAATCTTACTTTGTGTTGCTTTAAGCATCATAAAGTAAGCTCATTTAAAGCTAGGGTATACGATTTCAAAGATTGTTCATTATTAATATCCTCGTTTAGATGCTGGTTATGGTTATATAGTACAATCCTAACAATAGGAATAGAAAAAAGAATGAAAAAAATCCATTCACTCTTATTGGCTGTACAGCCGCAGAGAAGTTGACCAATGTAAGCTGTCCGGCCGGACAGCTTACATTGGTCAACTGCTCTCATCCAATCACCAGCTCCACTTGAAACTCCGCCTGGCGCTCGCGTCTCCACCACACCCGGCCCCTCCTGCGTCATGAAATTGCTCGCGTAAGCAGCTGACAGCTGACTAGCTAAGTAGCATATCAGCAATGGATTAAAAAAAAGACAGCATCAAGCGTCCCCGGCTTGTCCCTACAGTAAAGTTAGGACGAAAGAGAAAGTTATTAGAGGAACGAGCAGAGATTAAAAAAAAAAAGTGAATAACGCCGAACTTTGAGTAGGATAAATATATGGACCCTCTCCACCATTGACCGTTGGAGGAAGCTTCAGGGAGATCTGGGACTGAAGACCGACGCTGACACGGCTAACTTTTTGTTGAGCAGGTAAACATTTATTTATACTTTTATGGTGTGACGTGTTACATAGATAGCTTTTTATCAGTTTGACAACTTGCTCATGCTGTCGGTCGGCATTGGAATGTTAGCCGTTTAGCATCGCCTATCACGGGTCAAAGTAATTATATTTCTTGAAGTCCTTGAATATATTTCAGTAGGCCTAGCAGGTTTCTGTTCGAGCCGATCGAAATTTGAACAAGATGCGCTGTGTGCTGCAATAACAATTACTGAAAACCTTAGCAATACTAGTAGGATTATATTAATGGTGGTGGGGAGTTTAGAACATTTCATGTGTTGCTAATCTTGCGTTGACGTGAACTCAAACGTGACATTGAATTGTTGATGAAGCAACTAAGTTCAAGTGTCTAAAGGCAATTTTACATATGATGTGTCATTATAGCGAGGTCATTAGATTGAACATTACATGAACTGACATTACATCTCAGTTCCGATGTTTACTACCGATGATCACAGCTTGACTGAGTGACGTAGTTCAGTTCGTTTCACGGTGGGAGGGATCAGGTAGCACAGAGAGGAGGGGTGGGATGCGTTTTTTAAAAATTCAGGCTTTCTCGACCGATTTTCAAAATCGTATACCATAGCTTTAACTAAAGCTTTGTTTACACAAAGATGTATAATAATTATAAACAGACGTTTAATCAGTCCCTCCAGAAAAACGCGATTGACTGATTATGCATTAAATCATGCGATCGCATAAAGTCCGCATATTTATGCGGGAGCCGCATTTTTTCAAATACGCCGCACTTTCGCTGCATAAATTGCAGATTTCCGTGCAAAATATGCGGGGCTCGCAGGATTTCATAATCCTCGCATTTTCGTTGCAAAAAAGCCACATACATCTTAGCAGAAAGTTGAAAAATGTTGCGTTTGCTTCAAACAAGAGCAGCCATTATCCCCTGTTGCCATGGGAACGTTATGAAGTGATGCAATTACGCGACGTGTCGTGAAGATCATCGAAAGCTGT